GGCGAGCCTCCCGGTGGCGGAGATCCCGGTGGGGGCAGCGGAGGTGTCCCGGGAGGCCGAGGGAAGCAAGACATCGGGGACATTCTGCAGCAGATAATGACCATCACCGACCAGAGCCTGGACGAGGCCCAGGCCAAGTGAGTGCCCCCACCCCGGGACCGCCCCCCACAGGCCTGGCCAGACCCCCAGCATAGGTCCGAATCTTCTGAGAGCCCCCGAACTCCGCGACCCTCTGGGAAGCCCTGCAGCCCTCTTCTCTCCCCACTCCTGGGGACCCCGGGATAAGTGACCCCTCTCAGCCCCCCTCCCACCCCCTGACCGTGAGACCTTGGGGGGGGGGACCCCAGGTGGTCTCATGCCCCCTCCCCCCTCTAACCTCTCGCTGACCCCCACACTCCCTTCCAGTGCTGTCCTTCCATCTCCGGAGCCCCCTTCTGGCTTCCAGACTTAGGAGCCCTGTCCGGCTAGCCTCGCCTCTCCCGAAACTCTCCGCCCAGCCCGCCCCCCATCCTCCCCAAACCTGGGGGTCTGCACTCCCTCCCAGAGCTGCCAGCCCTTCTCCCGAAGCTCAGGCAGAAGCTGGCTCGGTCAGTGGCATCTTCCACCCTGCTCAGTCCCAGGATTCTTGCAAGCTTCTACACTGGATTTCCCACTTGAGCCCAGCGCCCCCAACTCGTGTCACCCTCAGATCCTGACTCTTAGCCGCCTGTCTCTCTCCATCTGATTTCCTGTGAAATCTACCGAGTCGCCGCCCTTTCTCTGGTGGCAGCCCCTAAATGCTTCCTCCGCCCCCCTTCTAAGCCCTCTCTTTAGCATCTTCCCGCTGTCTAACCGAACCCAAGCACTGGGCTCACATCTCTGCCCCATGCCCCCCAAAGCCATTCAGCCCCCAGCCCCTCTTTGAAGTTCCCTGCTCCTTCCACAGATGTCCCCGCTGCTTCCCTCTCCTACCCTCTGCTCCCTTTCTGTAGCTCCTCAACTTTTCTCTTTCTGCACCCCCATTCTTCTGAAGGAAGCATGCTCTAAATTGCCACCGAATGAAGCCTGCGCTTTTCAGCGTCCTGTGTGAAATCAAGGAGAAAACGGGTATGTGGGCCCCCCTCGGATCCCTCTGTTCTGTCCTGTTTACTGAATGAGTTGAACAAAGTGTTTGGGGTTCTGAGGAAAGTGGGCCATCTAGAAGGTTGCTAGAGGGGACTTGGGTAGAAGCCAAAGCTGGAAAACTTGGGGCTCTGGAGGGCTGAGAGTTGAGTGTGGGGGACCCTGGGACCCTGAGTGCACCTGCCTGCACGCTAGGCCTGAGCATCCGGAGCTCCCAAGAGGAGGAGCCTGTGGACCCGCAGCTGATGCGCTTGGACAACATGCTTCTGGCAGAGGGTGTGGCTGGACCCGAGAAAGGGGGAGGCTCAGCCGCTGCAGCCGCAGCCGCTGCGGCCTCTGGGGGTGGCGTGTCCCCTGACAACTCCATCGAACACTCCGACTATCGCAGCAAACTTGCCCAGATCCGCCACATCTACCACTCAGAGCTAGAGAAGTATGAACAGGTGAGGAGACGAGGGTGGAGGGTGAGGCTTTTGAGGGGTGCCCCCAAGCCGATGGACTGCTCCCCCGCCACACACGGGCACACACACACTCCCCCTTGTAGGCCTGTAACGAGTTCACAACCCACGTCATGAACCTGCTGAGGGAGCAGAGCCGCACGCGGCCAGTGGCCCCCAAGGAGATGGAGCGCATGGTCAGCATCATCCACCGGAAGTTCAGCGCCATCCAGATGCAACTCAAGCAGAGCACCTGTGAGGCCGTCATGATTCTGCGTTCCCGCTTCCTGGATGCCAGGTGGGGTCTAGGGGCCAGGCCAGCCACCATCCGTAAGGTGGCCCCGTGTGACAGCGGCGTCATCCAGTTCAAGCAGCATGGTGGCCCTGCCAAGACAACACCCCGTTCACTGCCCTTCTCCCTCCCCTGCAGACGAAAACGTCGGAACTTCAGCAAACAGGCCACGGAGGTCTTAAATGAGTACTTCTACTCCCACCTGAGTAACCCGTATCCCAGCGAGGAGGCAAAGGAGGAGCTCGCCAAGAAGTGCGGCATTACTGTCTCTCAGGTATGAGGGGGGTGTGGGGGGGTGTGGTATGTCTTTCAAGTGGCTTTGGGAAAAGGAGTGTTGGGGCCCCAGACACCCTCAATTCCCATTAAGTGAGGGACCTCATTTCCTCCTGACCCTCCCAACACCCCACAGGTCTCCAACTGGTTTGGCAACAAGCGGATTCGCTATAAGAAGAACATTGGAAAGTTCCAAGAGGAAGCCAACATCTATGCCGTCAAGACCGCAGTGTCAGTCACTCAGGGGGGGCACAGCCGCACCAGCTCCCCCACACCTCCTTCCTCTGCAGGTAGAGCCCCCACCACCCGGCCTGGCTGTCTTACACACTTCCTGCTTCTGTTCCTGCTTCCTGTCTAGGCAGGGTCACGGCAGAAGGGGACCTTGGGGCGTAAAATAAGAGTCTTAAGCTGAGACAAGACAAGCTGGGGGAAAAAAAAAAAGACAAGCTGGGGATGTGGAGGGACTGAGGCCACCCCAGTAGGTCCTGGGGCTCTTCTTCCAGCAGGTGGCCAAGGGAGGCTCAGGGAACAGTCTGTTGTCTTGTGGGTAATGTCGGTACAGCAGCACAGCCACACAGGGCAAGTGCAAAAGGGTCTTTGAAAGCTGAGGGGCCTGCTGGGGTCTTCCTAATCCTTTCTCTGCTCCCCTCAAGGCTCTGGTGGCTCTTTCAACCTCTCAGGATCCGGAGACATGTTTCTGGGGATGCCTGGGCTCAACGGAGATTCCTATTCTGCTGCCCAGGTCAGGTGCCACGTTGGCTTCTCAAACCCGTGCGTCCCCTCCCTGGAGGATCCACGAACGTGTCCTTCTGCAGCTTCTCACCTTGTCATCCCTTCCTGTGCTGCCTGCAGGTGGAGTCGCTCCGACACTCGATGGGGCCTGGGGGCTACGGCGATAACCTAGGAGGGGGCCAGATGTACAGCCCCCGAGAAATGAGGGTGAGCGGCTATCAGAAGCCATCGTGAAAAGGAGGTCTTCTCCCTGCCAGCACTGTCCCCACACAGGGCTTCCCGGGGGCCCTTGCCTAACTCTGTTTCTCCCTCTCTTTTTCTAGGCAAATGGTGGCTGGCAGGAGGCTGTGACCCCATCCTCAGTTACTTCCCCGACAGAGGGTCCAGGGAGCGTTCACTCTGACACTTCCAACTGACCTTGCCCCTCAGGCCCACAGGGCAGGGGCTCTGGAGGCGACTCTTGAAGATGGAGACAACCAGAGGACACACCCCAGACACAGGAGAAGCACAAGACAAGAGAAGGGCAAATGGGGGCTTCCCCTCCTGGACCGGACTCAGTGCTGGGGGTGTAACTACATGGCAGGGAAAATGGGGTCCCCCAAAGGGGATGATGGGGGGTCTGTCTTCCCCCCTTTTTCCTCGTTCCCAGCCTTTCTCTATGACATAGAAATACACACTTCCAGAACCCTGCTTTTAAACTTCTTGTAAAACACGCACACACACACACACAGCTATTTCTCTTTCTCTCTGCCCTCCCCCCTACTTTTCTCTCCCCACCCCACTTATCAGCTCTGGAATCTGGAGGCGCCAGCCCTGCCCAACCAGAGATGCCAAAAATGGGGATACTACTTCTGGACAGAGGACATGGGCCGTGCCCCCGGTGCATCCCCGCCCCCTGCTCCTTCAGACGGCTTTATTACCTCATACGCAGCTCATCTTAAACCAATAGAATCGCTCGGTGGACGAGAGTGTCTGGCTCAGATATCTACCTCGGAGGGAGTTTCTGCTACTTTAGGGGAATTGTTGACTGGGCTTTGGGGTTGAACTTTTTTTTTTTTTCCCAAAGGGAAAAAAAGAAACCCTGGGATTGATCTGTATTTTGGGGTGTGGGGGGTGTGGGGGTTTGTTTGGTTTTTTTGGATGTTGGTTCTTAATTTTTAATTTAGTTTGGGGGAAGTAGATGTTTTATAAATATGTTAATTGATTGGTTTGCTTTGGCTTGGATTTCTTGCTTTCCCAGTTTTGGGGTGGTCTAGGTAAGGGAAAGGGGAACCAATACAGGCGGTGAAGAGGCTCCAGTCCTGTCCAGCAACAAGTGGATTTTGCAAGACACCAAGGCCTCCCCCTAAACGGCTGAGTTGTGCGGGCCTGGATGTGGAGGCCAGGTGGGGCCCACCTTGCTGGCCTCCTCTCTTCCCACGACTCTTGGGCAAGGCTGACCTCAGTAAATTTGAGGAAATCCAAGGTGCCACCTGCCCTTCTGAATGGCATGTCTCTAACTCCTTTTTCTTTTTAAACTTTCACGGATTGGAGTGGGGAAGGATTGGGAGGGGGCTATTGCCAAATCTATTAAATATAGGTTGAGGTGCTTGTATAAAGATGTTCCTCAGTTTCCCTGGAAACGAGTTAACTTTTTTCTCATGCCAGAATTGAGGTGGGGGGAACTAGGAGGGAAGCGGCAAGAAGACAGGTGGGGGAAGGAAAACCATCTGAGCCCTGCCATGTGAACCCCGCAAACAGCCTGGGGATTAACAAGCCTGTCGGAGAGGGAGCCTCTCCTGGCATCCCTGAGCGGGATGGGAGGGAGGTGGGGAGTGTGATGGGTGGGGGTGGGAGGCGTGGTCCAGGGGCAGGTCTCTCCTCACTTGTAAACTTGTAGTTTCAATGAACAAATCACAGATTTAAATAAAGGAAATTTTCTTTTCCCTGGGTTTAGTTGAGAATTTTTTTCAAAAACAACTCCAGAAATTGGGGAGGGGGGGGGCTGTTTAAAAAGTCCCAAACCAGTTTAATTCAAGTTCTTCGTGCCTCCTCTCAGCCTTGCCTTCCACCCAGGCCCACGGTTCACGATGGCCCGGCCTGAACCCAGTTGTGTAGCAACCTGACTCCGTCAAGATGGGGCTGGGGCCATCTGCCAGGCCAGCAGTGCTGGGATAGGAATATGGCATTGGGGCCATGGTTGGTCCTTCAAGTACCTGAAGGACCCTTCAGAGAGGCATGAATTCCTAGCATTCCCTGAGACTGAGGATAGGGAGATGAGGGCCGGGGGGCAGGGTGCAAGCTGCCCCAGGGCGGTGGCAGCAGCAGTAAAGGGGCAGACAGCGCCAGGAGCCTGGGGCAGGATGGCAGCAGCTAGAGCCTGGGTGCTGGTCCTCAGTCTGTGGGGTGAGCCACTCCCCTTGCCAACTTCCCCCTCCCAGCCAGCCCTCCCTGGAGAGTACTTTGTGCTCCCCCAGCAAATCTCCCCAGAACTTTGCAAGAACCTGGGGTGCGATTTCTTAAGCCCCTTTCACCCAACCTCCCTGGCTGCCCCTCCACCCCCACCACGTGCTCTCTCCCAGGGGCAGTAGTGAGCGGTCAGAACATCACAGCCCGGGTCGGGGAGAGACTGGTGCTGAACTGTAAGGGGGCCCCCAGGAAACCACCCCAGCAGCTGGAGTGGAAACTGGTAAGCGGGGCACCTGTCCCAGTCACTTACCTTGCGGGGACCAGTGATGACTCCAGTCTCCACCTCATCAGGCCTCCCCCGGAGGACCTGGAGTTAGGGCTCCTCTTCTTTGTCCCCAGAACACACGTCGGACAGAAGTTTGGAAGGTCCTGTCTCCCCAGGGAGACTCCTGGGACAGCGTTGCTCGGATTCTCCCCAATGGCTCCCTCCTCCTTCCTGCTGTCGGGATCGAAGATGAGGGGACTTTTCGGTGCCGGGCAACAAGCAGGAGTGGAAAGGAGACCAAGTCCAACTACCGAGTCCAAGTTTACAGTAAGGGTTTCAGGCCCGCTCCAGAGCCCACCTCTTATCTAGAACGCCTTCCACTCCAGTCCTTGTCTCCTGTGCCCCCACCCCACCCCTGGGCTGTGAGGGCCTTCGCTGCCGCACCAGCCAACAATGTTTTCTCCTCCAGAGATTCCTAGGAAGCCGGAAATTGTAGACCCTGCATCCCAACTCACAGCTGCTGTCCCCAATAAGGTAGTGGAAGAGAAGTAGAAGGTGGTGCTGTGTGTGTGTGTGTGTCTATTTAAATGACGAGGTGCTCAATCACTTCTCCCAGGTGGGGACCTGTGTGTCAGAGGGGAGCTACCCTGCAGGGACTCTTAGCTGGCAGCTGGATGGGAAACTTCTGAAATCTGATGGGGAAGGTGAGTCCGTGTCCCGTCCCCCCACCTTCCGAGTGAGTTGGCCCTCTCCCACAATCCCCCCTGGGGTCATCTCATCTTGTCTTCCGCCCAACCCAGGAGTGTCTGTGAAGGAAGAGACCAGGAGACACCCTGAGACAGGGCTTTTCACAGTCCAGTCGGAGCTGATAGTGACCCCAGCCCTGGGAGGCGCTCCCCGCCCCACCTTCTCCTGCAGCTTCAGTCTTGGCCTGCCCGGGCACCGCCCTTTGCACTCGGCTCCCGTTCAGCCCAGTGTCTGGGGTGAGCACAGAGGTGGAGACAGCCCTGAGCTTGGTGGGCATGGACCCCTCGGGGAGAGAGGGGATAAGCCCCTCTCTACTGGACCATGAGAGGCATGACTCTCCCTCTCTTGCCCCTCCAGCCCCAGAGCCCGTGCCCTTGAAGGTCCAGTTGGTGGTTGAACCAGAAAGTGGGGTAGTAGCTCCTGGTGGAACGGTGACCTTGACCTGTGAGGCCCCTGCCCAGCCCCCACCGCAGGTCCACTGGCTCAAGGATGTGAGTGACCACCGGAGAGAGGGGGATGGGAGGTAGGGAGCTGCATCTTTGGCAACTGGGGAGGAGGGCAGGCGAGGAGCTGGGGAGGAAAGCGGGGTTTATCTGAGGCTGTAGCTACGGTAGTCGGAGATGGTGGGCAAGGGTTTCCTAAGAGCCTTCCATCCCTGCTCCCCATCAGGGCACGCCGCTGCCCCTGCTCTTCAGCCCCGTGCTGCTCCTGTCTGAGGTGCAGCCTCACGACCAGGGTGTCTACAGCTGCGTGGCCACCTATCCCACCCACGGATCTCAACAAAGTCCTGCTGTCAGCATCAGCATCCTTGGTGAGGAGGTGCCCCGCCACCCTGCAAATCCCGGGGACCCTGGGGCTGGGATGAGAGGGTAGTGCAGGCCCTCTTCCCAACCCCATTCTGGCTTGGTCCCAGCGCAACACCTCCCATCCCGCCACCCTGCCCCACCCAGTCCTCCTTAGCCCCACCCAACCCTGCTAGGGAGCAGCCAGCCCTAAAGGAGCCTCGCCCTCCGAGAAGGGAGACACTCCCCTTGAGTCCCTAAGCAGCCTTCTCCTGAACTGAAACCTTCCGATTGGCTCTTTGTCTTCCAGAAACGGGCCGAGAGGGGCCAAGTGCAGGTGAGGGGTCGGAGGCGGTCAGAGACTCGCAGATGCAGACGGACCTCAAGACATGTGGCGGCAGGGGATGGGGGGTATGGTCCACAAGGAGCAGCGTGTGGGGTATCCTCAGGTCTCCTCTCCCTACAGGTTCTGTGGGGGACTCGGGGCTGGGGACTCTAGCCCTGGCCCTGGGGATCCTGGGAGGCCTGGGGACAGCCGCCCTGCTCATCGGGATCATCCTGTGGCAAAGGCGCTGTCGCAGAGAGCAAAGGTGAGTGGAGAAAGGCAGGCAGACACCTCAAGGATGGCCCTTCCGGGCCGGCCGGTGAAGGGCTTGGAATGCAGCAGCAGAGTCCTGGGAACCATGTGCAGGATTCTCCCCAGGAAGGCTCCAGAGCGCCAGGAGGAAGAGGAGGAACGTGCAGAGCTGAACCAGTCAGAGGAGCCGGAGGCGGCCCAGGGCAGTGCAGTAGGTCCTTAAGGTGTCCACAGCCGGACCTCAGCTGTCGGCTCCCTTCTCTCTTTCCCTCTTGCTGTTCCGGCCCCAACCCAACTCTCCCCCGACTCACCAAGTTTCCTTTCACAACGAGGCCCCACCCGCCCACAAAGGACGCCAAGTAAACACCTGACACAGCTTGCCCTGTGTGCTGTGTGTGTGTGTGTTGTCTGTGGGCAGTGACCTCAGCCCCTGAGAAGAGGCCCCCACCCCCTGCTGCCCCATACCACCCCAAACTTGCGCTCAAGCTGGGGAGCAGGTGTTCCTGTCCTGGAAGGCAGAGGGGAGGAAGACACTGGGAAGAGCTCCATCAGAACTTTTCACATTTATTATTATTATTATTATTACTGGATTTGTAATAAAGGAGGTTGTACGTGGGCGGAAGCACTTGAAAATCAAAATACATACTAGACACTGGCGGGGAGAGAAAAATTAAATTAAGTCAACAAGGGAGTCAGAAGGAGCCTTGCCCACCTTTCCGCCTCAAATTAGAAATCTGGGGGGAAAGCAAAGTGTTAGGAGAAGAGAAGGACATTCTCTTCAGTCTGTCACCCTAAGTCAGGGCTGGGGTTGGGGTGCCCCCTGAGCGAGCAGTTCACAGGAGGCTTTCTCACCCGGTGTCCAGATGGCCACTGCTCCACCCTGCACCCTCCTAGAGGGTGATCGATAGGGCCCGACGGCCTCAGAAGTGGAGGAGTTAGGGAAGAAGGGTCAAGAGTCAGGAGGGTCAGCTGGGACCCCAATACTGGTTTTCCTCGGGCTGGAGGTGGGCAGGAAGGAGACACAGCTCAAATACTGAGGAGCCAGAAAAAGAAGAAGATGGCGAGAAACAGGAAGAGGGAATCCTGCCAGCTGGAGGCCGGGTGGCCCTGTCCCAGATCCACACCTGTGGGACAGAAGAGAGCTGGGGAGAATGGACCCCTTCCGGGCCGAGAGTGGGCTCGGGGGGATGTAGAGGGGCCCGGTGGGAGCCGAGGGAAGGTTCTTACCCGGGCCTCGACGGAGAGGCTCATGGGTGTTGAAGACGGTGGTGAAGAAGCCAAACGGAAAAGCACCGACACCGAACGAGAAGTGAAAACCCCCAGCATCACCGAACGGCTGGAACCCCTGGGGCGGAGGGGACAGTCAGCACAGAAGAGGATAAGGAAGGGGACACACTGGGTCCAGAAGGCTCACCCCTCTCCTCTCACGGGGACGACTGACTCACCCCTCTGCTCTCAGGAGCAGGTCGCTGGCCCTGGGGGCGGGGTGGGGTTTTCAATCTGAGGAAAGAGAAAGGGGCTGTGAACAGGTTTGCCATCACCACCACCTCCTCTCCCCACGCCTGCCAGGCCAGAAAGCCTTCCGCGTTCCCTGGGCACCACCGCTTCCTCTCTCACCTGGGATCCTGGGGCTTCTGGCTCCCTCGCCCGTAAAGTGGGACCACCTTCTCTCTGCTGATCCCAGCTTTGCAGACTGGGCACTCTTGCCGCTCCGGCCGTGTCTCCAGCCACTAGGGAGGAGGGAAAAAGTGAAGGGGTTTCCAGAAGTCTTCTAGGTCCTCAGGCCGTCCCACGTCCCTCATGATCTGAGTACCCACCTGATGAAGGCAGGGCCAACTGGGTGGGAGGAGGAAAAACAAAGCAACAGGTCAAACTAGCTATACGAAGACGCACACAGACCTTAGAAATACCCGCCCCCCCTCCTCTTCCCTGAGATCCTTGCTGTTGACTTTCACAGTCTCAACTTCTAGGGGACAACCAACCTTGCCTTCCTCCTTCTCCACCTATCCTCACCACACTCAATGCCCTGTCCCCAGCATGGACACACCCATGCCCAACCCTCCTCTATCTGTATGCCAACTTAGTTACTCGCTAATCTTCAACCCGGCCACAACACTTCCAGGACAAACCCCTCTCCTTTACCCGCGTATCTTGCCAGCAACTCTTTCCACTCAGTTTCAGGCCCAATGAAAACCCTATTTCCATGACCCTTTACGTTTAACCTGTCCACCCGCCCCTATCTGTCATACCAACCCCTGCCAGATTGTACCTGACTGTGATTGATACCCGAGGCCCCCCACATCCGCCAACTAATGCATGGCTCCCTTAACCTCATCTCGTTGGACCGGTACTGGGAAGCTCAGTCACTTGGGGTGGGGTGGTCTCACTTTACATATCTGTGCTGCGTCCCTTCCGTCCCGTACCCTCCTAACAGTACTGCCCCACCGCCTCTACTTTCCACGGGTCGCACACCCCTCCTACCCACACGTATCTAAAGGCACAGAAATAGACGTCCTCTCCTCGTGCTTCACCTATGGGTGCGAACCCTCTGAATGTCACTGCTTGGTCCCCCACCGCCAGCATCCTCGGGGCAGCGCTGAGCCCTTCCTCCCGCCCCCTTCCGCGGTTCTCACCAGTACAAGTGGCCACACACGCTGACCACAGCTTCCCGAGCGGTCTCCAGACATATATTACATTCGAAGGTCGCGCCCGCCCCGCCCCGCGCTCGATTTGGCCCTTCGGGGCCCCCGTCCTCCTCCTCCGCAGCGGCCATGACCGGTTCTACTTCGCCCCCCGTGAACCCCTTCAACCCACCCAAACACACAGACACGCACCCCAACAAACAAGGGACCGCCTACAGCCCGCTAGCGTAGCTTCGAGATTTTTTCATCACCATTGGGCTGAGTGCCTGCCAATCATACAGGGAGCAAACGAAAGGATTGGTCGAATGGGCGGAGGCGGGAAAAGGCTTGCGCGGTCCTGTCCCCCGCGCAGGGACGATTGGTTGATACATTCGGGGGTCAGCCCAGGTGGCCACGGGATTGGTAAGAACTCGACAGCCCCGTTTTGGCCAGCGAGGGTTTTAATTGGTCTGAGTAGCTGCCCGTCAGGACCACAGGCGAGCAGCAATTGGCTCAAGACTACATAGGCCTCGCCCACCACAAGCCCCTTTCTCTCCGGCGCTTCCTGTTACAGAGAAGAGCGGCGTTCCTATTGGACCTTGGAGCTAGTGACTCCACAGCCAATGATTGGTTAGAACTCGACCGGATTAAAAAAAACACAAAAAAACCGGGAGTTAGATCACATGCGCATGTGCAACCACGCGGCGGGCCGGGCCGGCCCAATCCTAAAAGGGTCGCGCCTTCTCTGGTCCCACCCCTTCAACGCAACCTCGTCTCCATGGTGACTGCGCTACAATTGGCGGGGCTGGAGGTTCAAAGGCCTCGAGCGGCTTCATCCGGGTCCTCCGGCGGTAGCCTCTAGGCTGATAGGGCCGTTTCTTTCGTTCTTGATTGGCCAGGCTCTAGAAAGACGGCGAAGAGTTCCGAAAGGAGGGCCAGCGCTAGGGTCGCAGGGTTCAACATGGCTCCGGCCTCGTTCGGTGACGTAGAGAGCAGGACTCGGGTCCGCCTCTCCCTCTTGGCGAAGAAGGAAGCAGAAGTGGGATTAGCCCGACGTTTGGATGGTGCAGGACCGACCTGCAGCGCCCGCGTTAGCCCGTCTCCCTAGGCTGGACGGCTCGGTCCGGCCCTCTTTAGGTGATTGACGGACCAGAACTGAGCCACATGCCCGTTTCCTTTTAAATGTGACCCCCGAGTTGACCTCCGCTTCGTTTTAAAGCCCGAAGCAGGCACGGTCGCGCTGCGCCCCTTGGCGAGCGGGTGTAGATGGAAGAGGCCCACCCCTTTTTAGGCGACACGCGGCAGAATGGGGTTCGGCCCGCCCCTTCCTTGCCGCGAGCGAGAGAAGTCCTGCAGAACTGGGGGTCTGCTAGCTGGAACCCCTGGGGACGGGGCCAGCTGCTGGAGAGCGTAGGCCTTTTCGCTGAGCCTGGGGCTAGCCTGCAGTCAGTGACCGGGTCAGTTCCTACGAAGCGGAACTGGGTAGCAGTCCTCGCACTGCCAGCGTTCTTGACATTCTCCCCCAGGGCGTGTAAAACTTGAGCAAGAGAAAGGTGTGTCAGGAGGCAGCCGCTGGCTGGAAGCGGTTCAGCCCGGCCCCTGATAAAGGCCCCACGTGACTCGAGTGGGGTGAGGTGAGAAGTTGGGCAATGCCTATCCGAGGACAGGGGAGGTGCAGGTGGTGGGGGACCTGAGGACATTTAGGCAAGGGTGAGGGCGAAGTCAAGACTCAGGAGGAGGCGTGATCCCGGCCAAGGGACGCAGGGTATGGCGACGAGGGAGCAGGTGCAGCGCGCTTTGGATGCAGAGCCACAAAATCGGGCATGCTCACCTCGGAGGAATCCGCATGCTCACCCACTCCCCGCCGCCCCCCTTCTCAGGCTTCATCTTCAAGGGAAGCAACTATGCAGCCAGCATCCATGTTGGGGCTAGGGTTAGGGTTAGCTCGAGAGGCAGAAGGAAGTAGGAGAGAACGTGCACTTAGGTCAAAGCAAGAAGAGGAGAGGGCTAAGCCACGTTCCCTACCTGAGGAGGCTAGGGGTCGGCGGGGAGGGAGCTGGGCTGCTGGGAGCCAAGGGTGGGGGACAAAGGGCAAAGGACCGAGAGCCCTGGGGGCGCAGGGGAAGGGGGAAGCAGCCGTGCACGTCCTAAAGCGCTTCGCCTCTGGAGCGCACTCCAGGCTAGGAAAGGGAGCCTGGGTGCTGGTGAGATCCAGGCGCTCCGGCGAACGGAAGGAGCCAGGAAGAAACCCAGATGCGTGGCAGTGAGTAGAGAGCCGACGGGCCAGGAGGGACCCGAAGGAGGAAGGCGTGGAGCATCCCGGCGCCCGGGCACCCGGAGCGGGGCTGCAGCGCAGGC